TGAAAAATATGGGTTTCAGAATTCCCTAAACTGAGTGGTCACTAAAAGTCACAAACCTCCTGGTATGACAAAACCACAATTTAGCATGTTGGCAAAATCCAGGTCAAATTTATGGAGCACAGTGTTACCAACATTATTTAGGTTATAGTTTTTTTAATAGTTTAGTTGAGCTGAGAGACTGTTTTCCCTCAATTAATTTAGAAAATCTGTGTGGCTGATGCTGTGGAAAGACATAGTCTTTCATAAAACCTGGAAATAAGCACAGATATTTGTACAAACCAAGCAGATTATTTCGCTATTTTAATTTGCTAAATTTTAAATTTGGCATATATGTCAGTATTTATCTTGTAACTGCTAGCTAGTGTTACAGCAGAAAGAAAAAAAAAAAATTATCAGCCTGAACAAAATCACCTCCATATAGTGGCCATTTAGCCACCAAAACCCAGGACTAATCATGGCTCATTGGATGAATGACATGCCAATTAAGGTATAACTCAAAAATATTTAGAGGCTTTCTTACATGTGAAAACACCATGCCTGAAGAATCAGTGCTGTCACATGGGTCACAGAGCAGTTAAATGTTCAGAACATGGAGAAGTGAGCAGGAACTCCAATTTCAGAGTTTCACAATCACATGATAAAAATGATTGATATTCCATAAATTGAACTCTGAACATCATGTGCAAAGATAACCTCAAGAATTCAAAGCTTAGACAAGAGTCTTTGCATGTTGATTGATGGCCCTGTGTCACTCTGGTTTATGGGTTATGACCATTGGAGACTTCAAAATGAACTAAGCCAAACATAACAGCATCCTTGCTCAGTGAAGCAAGAATGCAGGACTCAGAAACCAAACTGTTCTGTCAAAAAAAGAAAACACTTAGCTCAAAAAATCTGTCAGACTTTCAACACTTTTGACAGCTTCCATATTCCATGAATACAAAAAAGACTAAGATGAATGCAATCAAAGCATCCAAAATATTTCTTTGACATTAAAAATCCCTAATTTGGTATAATAGCTTTAAATAATTCACATATCTCTTTTATGTAGGTCTCTCTGTCTTGGTTGTTCTTTAGAAGAAATATCTTTATTAAAGTAAACAAAAATAAACTATTCTTATACTGGATAGCATTAGCAACTGTCCTTACATACAGTACAAAAATCTGATAGTACTTTAATGACTTTAAAGATGAACAGCATATTTTAAAATATTCTAAAAAATAGCTGTCTTTTAAACACAGAAATAAAAAGTGTGTTCATCTGGTATTAGGCCTGTCATTTCTTATGACAGGAGGAATTTTTCTCAGCATCTAAAATGAAATGTCTATTAATGGTCATAATTACCCAAGCCTTGAAATTCAGCCATAGTTATTATAAGGACATTGCTTTGTAAGATATTTTCTGTTAATTTGCAATCTTCTGTTCTTTAATTTAATTAGGAATACACATGTCTGACATCATTTTAGTTGAAAAAGAAAAATCACATGAAACTGGATTATTAATATGTTGCTGATTTTTTTGCCATTTGGAAAGCTGCAAACAGCATAGAGTTTATGAACTTTCAGTAAATTAAACAGAAGAGTTTTAGGTCAGACATAAGCAATCTAAGGAAAAACACCTATCCAAATTTATAAAAAATAAGAGGCTATATTTTCTTGAATTTGTACTGAAGGTACACTTAAAATATTTGAATTGAGATTTAATGATCAGTAGTGACTTTCTAGGAGATATTTTTCAAGACAACTAGAAGAATGAAAAATAAACATTGTTAAAAGGTAAGAACTTTCTAATACCTCAGAAACCATCCTGTCACACTTTTTTCATTCATACAGTTTAGATCAAAGCACAAAGACATGACTGGTTTGGTTTTTTTGGTTTTGTTTTTTTGTTTGTTTGTTTGTTTTTTATTCCTATAGCATTCTTGCCTCATATTTGTTTTGAACTTAAACTCTACTTTTCTTGGGAAAACCTGACAGCTGGATCTTATCTTTCTGTCTTGCAGATGACATGTGTAACCATGTACCTCAGCATCCCAAGGAATAAGGCTGGACCTACAGGAACAGAAAGTATGACACAAAGTACACAGAAAGCCAGAACCTCACAGACCTCCTTTACACTCTCTGGACAAGAGGATTGTTCTCTATGAGAATTGCCATTAAGCAGAGTTGAAAAGGTATCTTGCTTATTGCAGAATTTTTACATGCCTGTAAGAATTTTTAAACCCGTAAACATTACAATAGTTTTTAATCCCCCACCAAGCTAGTATTCCAAACTAGCTCTCCTCTCATTAAATTCATATATATATTACTCTATATTTGTATGGAAGCAGAACTCTGGCACACACTTTAGAAATTATACTATTTGTACAGAATTTTTTTTCAGACCTGTTCAGCATTCAGTTAGACAACAAAGATTTACACTGAAGAATTTTGCTTATTTCTAGATAGACATTTGCTTTTATATAGGTTACTATTCCTCATCTATCAAGTTGTAGGTGAGATTACTTAATATGTGCAGATCAAAATCCATTTTATTGATAGCCATAGTTGAGTCTGGATCTAGCTTGAATAATTTCAGGGACTCAGGCCTTTTGCATCTGCAGAGAGCACTGCCACAACATTGCTTTTTCCACAGCTTTCTTACTGGCTACACTCGTGTGCTTGGCATTTCAGAAAAATGCAGCTTTTCCTGCTCTGCCTAGGGTTATACTCAGGGTTAGGGGTCAGAAAGCCACAAAGCACTTTATCTGTATATTTTATTGGGAAAGTGCTTTAAAACACTGCAAGATTACAATTATATTTTATCGCTTGACTACGCATGCTCACAATAACAAGATTTTATAATAATATTACTGCGATCCCAACACATGTGGAACTGCTCAGTTTTATTCACACTGTAGGCTCCAGCACTTCTCCTTGGAGGAAACTACTGGAGAGGGAATACGTAAAACCAAGAAATTTCAGGAGTGTGATGGAATGGAACAGAAATGCTTTACTGATAGGGCTTGTACTTAAGTATTGTGCTTAAATGTGTTTCTTAATTAAAGCCTTAGGACTATTCATTCCATGGTTACACTTAAAATATCCTTTAGTACTTACTTTGCTACTGTATAAATGTATCTGTGATCATTATTTCACCTGTGTCTGGCTGGAACCCAATAATAAATACCCATCATAAGATTGGTGCTAGTGTTTGTATTTTATGGACACCTGCAGGATTGTTCTCCACCAGGAGCCTATGGCAGGATGTATTTGTGATTGAGTCTAAATGTATCCCACAGTACCAAAAGGTTTTTTTGCCTAAGGTTGCTCACTGACTTACATTTAGAACAAGCTGAATTCAGTCACCAAGAGATGAATGCAGTTTTAAAATCCAAGAAGCCTCAAAGTGACACCTTGGTCTGTCCCTGTGTGTTCTTTCATTTCTCCAAAGTATGTATTTTTCTGAATGAGGAATACAGGTTGGTATCTAAGGATATCAACAGCTATCAAATGTAATTTCAAACTCAAAATATTTTAACATCTTTTGGAATACAGAGATTGTGTTTTGTCCAGCAGAGGGAGACCTGAGTTTAAGAGAAAAGTAATACAAACTTGAAATGTAACACAGAAACACATTATTTCACTCAAATGTACCAGATATAGATTTTAATTTATAAGAAATATTACCCTATATTATATAGACTATTAAATGTAGGCAAGATATGGAGTTAATCAGACTTAAAACCATACATAATGCTTGATTCTGATGTAGGATTTGTAGCCTTCATCCCATTTGAAGTCTGATACTATGCTAATAAAAGACAATACAGCCAAGCAAAAATAAAATCAAATTCAATAATAAAATAAAATAAGCACAGTGTGTTTTGGGTGAGTAAACACCTACCACCAGTTTACACTCAGGAAAAGGTGAATGGAAATCTGGAGGAAGCTCTCTGTAGAGATTGCCTGGTCTTTTTCTAGATTGGTTCCATAAATCATGACTCTAGACAAGAAACCCAGTTCCTGGACCAGCCTGTTCCACCCTCATCTCCCTGTTTCAGAACCAAAAAAATTCATCACTCATTGCCCATTTCAAAAGCAGCTTTAAAGCTACAGGCAGTGACTTTTTACCTCACTGCAGCTTATCTGGCACAGTGCATTGTTCAAGGACTACTCAGATTCACAGCTGCAATAGAAAAGAGACACTCGATAAACAGTCTTGGGTTTCCTTTGTCATACACACAAATTATGTGCTTTGGGGATTACTGCATTATGATTGCAGGATGATTGCATAACTGAGAGTGGTGAGCAATGTTACAAACCAGTAAATGATCTGTCAGGTATGAGAAGAACAAGCAGAACCAGCACAGGCTTAACACAGCAAGGAAAATGGCAAATCTTCCCATGAGAGAACTTGAAAGTATAAAGAAAAATATTGTACCTTACCCATATATTCTCTGATTCTTGTGCTTCAATTATTCATTCTGGTGTTGTCAGCCTTCAGAAGAAACACCTGGTGTAAGAGTCATAAAAAGATCAATGGGTTGACCAAAGACTAAAAGAATATTCCATAACATATGATGTCTATTCAGCAATAAAAGCCAAGAGAAGGAGGAGGAAGAGAGGGCATTCCTAAAATACATTCCTTTTGGAGTAACCACTATGTGTCCTGAAGCCCTGATTCCCAGGAAGTGCCATACAACACCTGCTGATGGGAAATAGAGAATAAAATATTTAGGATGTTTTTACCTTTGCCTGCACACACAGGATCTTTGCAATTTAGATTAGATATTAGGAAGAAAATTAATTATTCCAAGACAATGAGAGAGACAATTTAATAATCTTGCTGGAGCTACTGACTGCCATTTTATGTTGTTGTCAGTAAAGAATCACACTTTACATGAGAATTTCTAGTGGCTTTCTTTCACAGGATTTGAAAGGATTTCACAAACCATGCCAGAAAAACAGCTCAGCTATTGGCTGCTGCTGCACTTCCTCCTTTACTCTCCTCATACAGATAGGAAGAATGGAATCTCCACCCACACAAGTTTTCAACTTACTTGTGCCTGAAGATTAAGTTCCTGTGTAGTTACTAATGCAGCCAAGGACTGAAGACATTTAAGCAGGAAAAATTCTCTGGTAAGTTTCTTTTTCCTTCATTTTTTTAAAAAATTCTTGAGGGACTGCCCAGCCACCAATCCAACATCGCACTCCACTCAGCTGAATCTGTAAGAAATTGCTGTGAGTAAACAAGAAAACTACAGAAAATATTTTAGTAATGTTTGGTGTTGGGATTGAAATGTCTTTTTTCTGGATGATATTTTTAGTTGAGATTATTTCTATAGCCTCCCCTTAAGCACAACTTTCTTCTGACCAGACTCTGGAGGTCTGAAAGTTATGCTTAAGAGATCTCCCTGGGAGAAATTCAGAAATTAATAACTAGCTATTATAAAACAGATTGATTTGCATAATTAAAGTACAACAACCTTTAGTTAATGATCAATCTAGTTCAGGTTATTTACAGGGAACATATTTCAAAATACAGCAAAGAGTTCCAAGAGTGCTAAGATACAGGAACGAAACACAGAAAACATCTGCAAATATTTTTGTAAGTATAAGGAACAAAGGGTGTTGGTAGGCGTTTCTGTTTATTTTCTTCACAGAGGAAGGATTAGGTCCTGTATGCTGAATTCATTGCATGCTGTTTTTCTCTGCTTTCTTTTGAATCGCACCTCTGATTACTTTTTTTGCCTTTAAAGTCCTCATACCAACCATCAGAATTCTACATAAATGTGTTTGATATGAGAATAATTACTTTCTTCTCTTCTTGAATCTGAGTAAACAGAGTGATTTTTAGAGATGCAGAAAACTACCACTAGCAACACACCATGTATTTCTGAAAATGAGATCCAGATTTAAGGAGTCTATATATGGATCCAGATAGGCCAAATCACGGCCAAAGAAATCAGAGGACATGGAATTTGGTCAATAAGAGAGATCTCAAGATAAGTAAATTCAGATTTTTTTTTTTTTCAGAGCAGCCATGTTAATTCTAAGCCTTTCTTCACACAGTTCTCATTGGCCATGGATAAAATGAAAGATTTGAGGCTGGAAGAGACATTGATTCGACCTGAGTTATTTGATATAGATGGTGTTCCCCTCACAGAACAAATTGGCAGCATTTGGGACCAAGTGTGGAAGTTCAAAGCCAGGCCTGATGATGTGCTCATTGCAACCTATGCAAAAGCAGGTTGGTGTGGGTAGGAAACAGAATAGAAAAGTTTGGCATAGTGCTTATTGTTGGGATTGAGATATATGTTTTTTCTATTATGACTGATATTTGTTTAACTCCAAACTAGACATATTTTAAAGACATGAACCTGTGTCAGCTGTGACTAGTAACTCCTGTCTTCTTTGGCAGATACAATAACCATCTGTTACTACTGAAGTACAAATGGCCAAAATCTAATGACCTATAATTTTTACCTTTAATTGAGATTATATACATTTATATTAATGGTGACAATAGGAGTTTTCCACCAATATGTAGCGATTTAACAATGCCTAGAAAGAAGTCATCATTAATAAGAAATAATATAAACTAACTGTGTGACTATGGAACATACTATGTATTTGGGGAATTATTTCTTTTTTTTTTGTAAACTAGTAGTGATTTATGAAAATGTATTAATTCTTTAAAATAACAAAATCAATTTAATAATTTTGGCCAACAAAATCAAATACCACCATTAATATTAGCTATCTGGCATTTTACTCAGTGACTGGACAATATTTCTCCTCTTCATCAAACCCTTTATACTTACTACACAAGAAAACAATAAATAACAAGCATCAATATAAATTCTGTATTTTAAAAAAAATATACAGTTTTGGAGATTCAGGAATAGATATGGGAGAGTTTGATCACCATAAAAAAATTTATTTGAATTAACAACAATTTTTAGGGCTTTTTTTGTTTTTTGTCAGTAGGGGGAAAATGTTTTTAACAAAAAAAAAACCACTGTTAGTTTTGTAAAACCTGAAATCTTTTTATTTACTACCTGTAGACTAAAGGCAAAATCACATTATTTTATCCTGCTGGGATTAAAACCTTCCAGCCACTGAACTGAAAATAAATAAAGTTAGGATTCCATTTGGCATTGTCATATCTGTATGAGATGCACAACACAAGCATCTTAAGAAGGGCTTAATCTCCTGCCTAAATTGCTTTCCAATTTATCCCTTAGCCTGTTCTCTAGCTGACCTGTCACAGTACCTCAGAGGCGATGTGACTGACACAGAGATGACAGCTATAAAAGAAAATCGACACATGAGATACACTATACTGTAACTCTTACAAATGTTTCAGTCGCTCAGGAAGATGAAATGTTGTACAGACCTTCATTAATGCATTTCAAATGGAAACTTTGCAAATACTGCCATTTTTTCATATTTTCAAACTGTATGAAATTTTAACTCACTTGAAGTTCAGGTATTGCACTATTTTTACTCAAATTCAGTATGAAAATAAAATTGAAATACCTGAATTTTTGTGAGGGATTAAAGGAGGGAGTTTCATCCCTCTGTAAATAATATTCTCCCAGCAATAGTGAGTGTATCCCAGTGTTTTTTTCAGTACTGGTGTGGGGACTTGTTTCTTTAGGCAAGAAGAAGTCTGTCTAAAATGGAATTCCTGAATTGAGCTTTGAGAATTAATTTTGTTGCTTAATTAGGCATTTTGCTTGTATTATACTCTTTTTCCATTTTGTCTCTCATTTTCTATGCTATTCTTTCCCCCATTAGCACAGAGTCCATCCTTCTGGCTTTCAGTTCCCTAGTAGAAGAAACTCTTGGCTATCCTGGAGGGAAACATCTAAACTCTTGACATTTTTCAGGTACCACATGGACACAGGAGATAGTGGATATGATTCAACAAAATGGAGATACTGAGAAGTGTAAACGTGAGACTACTTACAAGCGCCACCCTTTCCTCGAGTGGTATTTGGCAGAGCCTCCATCCGCACGTTACTCAGGTGAACATTACTTGTATTTTAAACAAAATGAAACAAAACATGCACATAGTGCTGATGCCACAAATTTTATGGAAAAGGTCCCACTTGCTTTGTTCTTGAACTAGGCACCATTTTGCCTATTAAGGACCAGTTCAGGTGCTTTAATGTAAACATCTAGAGCCACTCAAGGTGCTGCAAGGCTGGCAAATAGGACTGCTTCAGGTGCTACTGAAGGTCATGATGTTTTGGAGTGGTATCTGAGGCTGTGTTTGATACTACACAGGCGCAGGTATGTATAAAATGGAACATGGAGGCAATTGTATGTCATTCTGTGATTACAGGTGGTATGGAAGAGAAATGTATGTCATGGACATATTTCCAAAAGGTGCATAAGGTTTTCAGTGATTTTGCTACTGTTTCAAGGAAATGCTGCTCAGCTCTACGATCTAGTTATCTAAACAAGTTATGGAACATTTGGGCAACCAGCAGGCTTCACTGGCTTGCAGTTTCTTACAGAAGTCTCCCTCAGCATGGGTTCTATTTTCACACAAATCATTAAGTCAGACTCTTGCATCTGAAGCTAAAAATCTTGACTAGCTCTGCAGAAGTGCTACTTTTTCTCTTTTAAACTAGACTGTGTTGACACAGAGAGAGAGAAAAAAAATTATAATTACAGAGGATGATAAATGATGACAGGGAAAAAATTATGGAGGTCATGATAGATGTTTAAAAGGGAAAGGGGAGGAGATAACACACCTTCAAATATCACCAGATATTCCCAAGTAGTCCCATATATCCATAGCTACTGAAAATCCACTGTCATTCTCCTAGTTTCTCTTTATGTGCTATCCACAAAGTCTAGTCAGCCATCATATTTTTGTATCCTAGAAAGAAGCTAAAATTTCTTACCAGTAAGGTGGAGGGAAAGCACTAAATATTGCAAAGGAAAAGCTTTGGCTGGATAAATAGAAATTGGTATTTATCATTACCCCTTGGAAAGAAGGTATGGGCCCAAGAAAGCAAAAAGATATAAATCTTTTCTAATTGAATACACAGGTCAAATTTTCTCTAGAAACATTGAAGATGCTTATGTAATGTTGTATATGTCACCCTGCTAGTAAGTGCTTTGGAGATGAATGATCAATGCAAGGTGAACTGGTGGAAAGTCACAGTCACATGTGTGAGCATAGGAAAGAAGTGCTAGTGCAAGTTAGAGAACAACTTTTCATAATTAAACATCCCACAGGTCTGGAGTTAGCAGAAGCCATGCCATCTCCACGAACAATAAAAACACATCTGCCCGTGCAGCTGCTGCCTCCATCCTTCTTGGAGCAAAACTGTAAGGTAAGGCTGAAGAGCTCTATTCTACCTCAGGGACAAAGAAAGTGACATCAACCAGGGAAGAATATGTTTTCCAGAATCTCTGGGAAATCAAAAGGTCTTTAAAAATATTTTTCCTTTAATGTGCAAAGTCTGTGAGAATCTAAAGTCACAATTAAATTACCTGAGCTGGATTTTAGAAAATGGCAGCTTCAAAGCAAAACCTCTTAAATCTCTACTAGCAGGCTCTAAGAGAAAACTCCAGGAGATGCTCAATATCTATATTTGTGTATGCAAGTTAATTTCTTTTTCCCTCTCTTTTCACATTGATAAAGATAATCTACGTGGCAAGAAATGCAAAGGACAACCTGGTGTCATACTACCATTTCCACAGAATGAATAAAGGATTGCCTGATCCAGGAACCTGGGAAGAGTTTGTGCAGAAATTCATGACTGGAAAAGGTGATTAACTGCAATCAGTTGTATAAGAGATTTTGGTCATTGTAGGAATGAACGACAGGGATTTTTTAATTTCTGTTATGGTTTGAAATCCTGTGCAGACACTATGGAAGGATATCTGCTGAAGGTGTTTCAGTTATAATTTTCCCTTATTCACAGGTTTTTATTATTACCTAAAGATTAAATCTATCTTTATGCTCTCATTTTGGGAAAAAATAAAAACACTACTCTTTATTCTGGTATAATTCAGAAACACATATGACAATTTTCAGGCTTCATCTCCTCTCTGAGATTAAAATTAGCCATTTGAAAAGGAACAATGATATAACTGCTTTTACTCTAACCTGATAAAATTTGAAATTTAAAAAAGAAGTGGAGAGTTAATTTTGCTAGCAATGTGCAATGTGAATTTGAGATAAGGGAGTCTTTGTAGCTAAATTAGTGTAAATCAGGCATCTGAACAAAGACAGTTATCTTAACGAAGGGCAGGCAACCCAGAAGATGATTCTTCCCTTTCTAAAAGAGGTGCTGATATCACAGGATATCCAAGAAACAAAACCTGGTCCAGTGGATGGCAGTGTACAGTTTGTCATTAAAGCTTCCTTAGGTCATTAATATTTTTGCCACCACATAGGCCTAGAGATACCACTGTCTGAACCAGCATGAGAGTCACATGTCCAAAGGAGACCTTATATCTTGTGTTTAACCAGTTCAGCTTGGGAGTTATCTGTCCCAGCGCAGATATATAAAACATATGTACTTCTGTCTTAGCTAATAGTTTTGACACTTGCTTGAGAGAAGCAGACATTCCTGATAGCATAGCAATATTAAAACCAGATAGAATAATAGAATAATGCAAGCTGGAATGGATGTTTTTGTCCATACATTCCCAACCCCTGCCCTGCTCAAAACAGGGCCAATTAAGACAAGCCTTGTCCAGATGATTAAATGAATACTGGAAATGTGTGTTTTCGTTGACTATAATGCATCTGCATTTGTTGCCATCTAAAGTTACACATGAATCCTGTTCTGAGCATCCATAAACCTGAGGGATTAATAGCAAAAATGCTGTAATAAGCACAGAGCACAGCAGTGCTTATTATCACAGCCATACTGATTCAAAACCAGCTTGGAAATTCACAGGTACTGGTTAAGAGGCAAACTTGAGTGCCACATGTGTTAAAGACGCAATCAGCATTTATAGCTGCTGCTGCTGCTGTTACTTCTTTTTCAGTCCTCTGGGGTTCCTGGTATGACCACGTAAAAGGATGGTGGAAGGCAAAAGATAAGCACCGTATACTCTATCTCTTCTATGAAGATATGAAGGAGGTAAAAAGCTGAACATATGTTTATAGAGCTTTGAAATCTGTATGTCTAGTAGAGACTAACTACAAGCAACAGTTTTATATTATAATTCCAGTATCAGCAAACTATACAATAACCTGATCTTCTCTGTGTGAGAATTGTAACTTTCACACAATGTTTGATTTCTTTGCTTTTCCTAGCTCTGTGTCTTATCCCATATAATTGTCTCTGCAGAATCCAAAGCGAGAAATTCAGAAGATTGTAAAGTTCCTGGAGAAGGATCTGAGTCAGGAGGTTCTAAACAAAATAGTCCATAATACCTCATTTGAGGTAATGAAGGAAAACCCTATGGCAAACTACACTAAAGATTTTCAAGGAATAATGGATCATTCCATTTCCCCATTCATGAGAAAAGGTACTGAGTACGTTACTTTTATCAGCTCTGTCTGGTTGTAATTCTGTTTTGAAATAAGCATTGAATTACAAGTATCCAATAAATTGTGGATAATGATTTTCAGGAAATACTGGTAAATCAATATTTCCTCTTTTTTTTTTTTTCCTTTGCCATTTCTTAGGGACTGTTGCAGACTGGAAGAATCATTTCACTGTGGCACAGAATGAGAAATTTGATGAAGATTATAAGAAGAAAATGTCTGATACCTCTCTTGTTTTTCGCATGGAATTGTAATTACTTGCAATTGAAATTTATGATCTTCAGCCTTTCCCATGTTATATATTTTGCTTTTCTTTCAAAAAATGCCAGTGTTCCTAAGATTTCATAACTGAATTTCATTACTGGGAGAGTGTCCAAATTATGCCAAAGTTTAAGTCTCTCTCAAGAAAATAATTCCACTGGACATTTCTCAGTCACCCCTACCACAGTAACTCTCAGCATTAACAAAAATATTTCAAACATGCTGTGGGTTTTGATCTACGTAAAACTGCAGTAGATATTGCTGGCATTTTCAAATCAAACTAACAGAAACTAGGAGCCAACAGGAAAAAAGGTGTTAAAAGAATGTAACAGGTTGTTTGAACATTAATCAATAAACAACAATATATAAATTTAAAGGTGGTCAAGTACAAAGAGAGGAACAGAAGTGCACAAAGTAGAATAAATTTCATTTTCTCTCATTTTAAGTTGGACATAAGAAATGCTATTGAAATGAAAGCAACGTTTCCAAAAACACCAAACACCCATTACTTCCTTTGATAAAAATTACTGAAGAGCTATATAGAGGCATTTATTTACCATCTAGCTGTGGGCACAGTAGTCCTTGTTGCATCTCATATTTGCCTTCTGAACTGGACATTACAGTGTTCACTTAATATTTGGAAAATTCTGAAAATTGGTATGAACCAGGTGGAGAGTCAATGCTGCAAATGCCATCCCCCTCTTCACTGTTGTAAAAGTGTTCATCAGTTACTTCATGTCATTGCCTTCTCCTTTAACTTACTCTTAATCAAATATATAAACATCTTGTTGAGGGCTCTTAGTTGCAATAGGGCCTGGTAGATATTGGAAAATAAAAACTAGTTCTGCTTTAGCATTAGTACCAAAACTACAACCTTGCTTTGAGCTTGTGTAAAATTAACTAAATCAATTCATAACCCATTTAATTATAGGCAACTGTTACCAATCCACTTTTGGATTTAAAGTGTTATCATGGAGCTTGGCACACAAAAAAAGGCCACAAAGACTTCCTGCTTAGCTGTTTGCACTCTGAACATTAGAGGGAACAGATTACAGCAGCTAAAGGAAAGTACTGTCTTAGTCTCATTTAGTCTAGTTTAGTCAAGTTTAATAAAAAAAAATGTTTGCTGGGGATATTTTCTCTTTGGCTCATGGAGAGTTAAAAGTTAAAAAGCTGTAGCAATATGAGCAGCTGTCAAATGCAAAGCTCATTTCAGGCTACTTATTTAATCCACATGTTGCAGTCATTAATGCAGCCATAAAGGGCAGCACATATCTAAAATGAATGCAGCCATAAAGGGCAGCAATACCTTGCATCAATTTGAAAACAAACAAAAAGTTGCCTGTTAAATGTAGTAGTTACATTGTCCTGGCCAACAGAGTTCTCTCCAAAAATGCTGGAATCACTGAAACTGAAAGCATGTATTTACTACATTAGTGTATTTTTTTTAAAGACTTCAAGGTCCACAGATTCCTGCCCACAAACAAAGGATGTGTCAGTAAAATGACTACCCGAGAAAAAATTATCAGAGGAACTGCTGTTCACCACAGCAAGGTTAAATACCAGCTTGAGGAGCTTTCTGCTACTTGCTTGGGTTTGGTTTATGATTAACTTGATTTACTGTCTCACTAGTATGAAGAAAAGGTGTTGTCTGCTCTTTCAGATACTTCCGCTCTCTTGGGTTGCTCTATGAAACCACATGAGTCAGCACAGTTTGTCAATCTAATCCTCATTCAGTGTCACAAGAGGTATCAGTAAATGGAAAACATGCTTAACTCAGTAGCTTGGTGACATTTTATGGGCAGTGCTGTACAAAAGGTCACACAGATGACCTGTCTGCTCTTCCCCTGAAATCTCAAAACCATCAGAAAAGCAAAATGCTGACAGTGGCTGAAGCCTTATTTGAAAAGGGAGTTACACAGCAACTGCAAGGATAGAGGCACCATATTATAAGGGACTAGTAACACATTGGGAAAGTCACCTTTGCTCTCACTTCCTTAGGTAACTTTTCACTCAGCTGCAATTCGGTTGCTATAAACAACAGATAAAAAGTACCACGGGTCAAACTGCAGTCTTAGAATACAAGAGAGGAGAAACAAACACTTTGATGTGATGGCCACATAAGAAGTGGCTTTTCTTATGCTATTGACATTATTTTTCTATATATTCAAAGACAAAAATTTTATCTATTTTGACAAAATATAGTTGGCAGGAGGATAGAAAAGTGGGGACTTTGTGTTTTTTATGTCTTCTCAAGCCACCATAGCTGAGAGATCAACTTATGGATTCAATCATGATTTGAAAAATGTTCACTAGTGTATAGGGAGTAATTTGTGTTACCAGTGAAAATTATTTGACCTGTAGTTATGAAGAAAATTTGGGAAAAAGTTAATGGATTGTATGCATCCCTCAAAGGTCATAGATTCTACCATTGTTTGGTGTCTCTTTTGACTGTATGTCAATAGAATTGTGCATATGCTTCTGGGCATATGCCTGGAGGGTGCCCTCATCTAGAGTGCCTTTAACTTCCATGTCTTTAGGTCTGACACTTGCTATCTACAGAAGAGCTTTAAATGATTTATCTGTATATGGAGATTTTTTTTTTACTAATTCCAACAAAAGTTGGTAAGAGATTTAACATATTTTTTATGTAAGATACTGTAAATCAATGAGCACCTGCAGAAGGAGATTGTGTGTATACAGCCAAATTATTTCAAATAATTTAAGCTATTGTTACACTTCTGATGAAAACACATGACTGTTTACTGTGGAGGTAAAACTGTACAGAAATATATTAGGCATAAGTCCTAAAAATACACCCATGCTTTATTTTCATCCAGTTATCTAGATGCACGGTTTTACTAACATTTTCAGATGAAACATCTTCAATGTCAGTTTAATAAGACTTGTGTAGTTTAGCTAATGCAATCCCACAGCAACTTCTCTGATGCTGCTTGTTTCTTCTTTTAGAAGAAAGTGCCCCTGCTGTGTTTTGATAGTACAGAAACTTTGTTATTCATCTCTAAAAAATGTTTCAAGGTCCGTGTTGATTAATACATGTTAACCGTTCATGCGGTTCTGTTTTACAGCTGTGTTAACTACCAAACCAAACACTCCCATGTGAATGACTAAAGATTCCTGCTTTCATACAGACTGTTTTAAAGACACTGCTGTATTAATCTTAGAATAGTCATAATCCCCCTAGAGCTTGGCTGTCAATAGCAGCTAGGAAAGACACTTTACCTTCAAATGGAATGCAACTATTTGTGAAAGAGAATGAAAGAAGCACAGAGCTCCAAAAAAATAAAGAAAGAGAAAAGGGAGCTCTTCTACCTTCCTGGCTAGCATTCAAAGACAGAGGAACACTGCTTTCCTTTCCAGTAATCTAACTGTAGATGAACTGCTTCATACTTGAACTGAAAGTCTCTGTTTCTCCAGTTAGGAAAACAGACCATGCAGAGGAAGAAGATTTTATGTAATTTCTCCTATCCATACAGGATATGGATCTCATACTTTATATTAATTGTTTACATCAACATATTTACAAAGGGTTTTACCTTGACAACAAGGTTAATTATTAATTCTGACATTTTTTAGACGTGCATTAATATATTTTAAGCCTAGACTGAAGCTTTCATTTCCCTCACATCCTCAATGAATGCTGCAAGGTCTGTCTCAGTGTGGGCTGTAGGTGAGCCTAGAGGCACACTGAGAGTGAGAGTTAAGCCCTTTATACTTCTAAGATGCAGCCAAACTGTGCTGCCAGACTGAAAGTAATGGGCTTAGGCTGGATAACAAACAAGGCTCTGCCTGCCCTCCAGACCAAGCACTGTGTAGGTAGATCAGGAAAGCCATCATTCAGCAGCACCCTGTGGTTAATGTCAAAGATGCAAATTACTCATGGATTGTTTTGCAGAAGGGCTTTGGCATAGGCTGCTGCAAGGGCAGTTGGTATCTATCAGCTGTGCTCAAACTGCCTTCTGAACTGAATTATATCCATCTACCATGACTGTGGAGACACAGGCATCATGTTGAAAGTAAGCTACACTTGGTCCTGCTCTGGTACAGGCAATATAAGTACAGGTAGAATCTTAGGTCAGGCACCTAAAAATTAAGGTAACTAATTTTTTTATTTGTTAAAATTGGGCATTTTGATTTACAGTAATTTGTTATATTACCAATAACACTCAGCTACATTTGCTACTATTTCTGTGTGCAATTAAAGGTTTTTCATGTTCTGTCAACAACAGAACAGTCTTGTAGACAGACCTCATCCCAGGTATGAAAACAAAATGCTTCCTTGTGTGAGTTTTACATTAATCTATCAAAAGGCTTCTTGGACTTTGATGGTGAGAACACCAAACTACCCACCTCTGTTTCCTATTACAGTTTAAGACCAGAATTAAGGTCTGTATAGACAGTATATAAAGTCCTATACAATCTGTATATGTATATACAGACTGCATATACAGTCTAATTTTTTAACACCTAGCCAAATCCTTCACACACAAAATGAGATAAAACTCTTTTTTCACTGTACCATTCAACTCCTATGGGATCCTACTGAATCTCAAGCCTACAAAATGGCCATAGTCAGCCAGATAATCTGTAGTTCATTTGCACAGGGAGTGTGCTTTAAGTTTCCAAACAGAGGAGAACAATTAACATCGTATAAATTCATATGTTGTTTTCCTTTGTATTAACCTGGCGTGTAAAAACACATAGAAGCAGCTCAAAGCAAGAACTGATTGGTCTGCCATAGGTCAAAACTACGTCTGGAATTCTCAGAACTTGTTGCAAAGACAGATTCTACAGTGGCAAGTATTTAAAGCATCTGCTCCCTTATGCTGAAAACACATTCCCCAGTAGCAAAATTACAGGCACTTTCTCATTCTGTGCTCTTCAGAAAATTCTTACAGGTCTAATAATTCCAATGATAGTGAACAAGCATTTGTACCCTGCCTTGATGTAAGGGCTAATTACAGCCCTGTGGGACTTGGCTTCTCAACGAAAGCAGAATTGAAAATTTGTTATGCTCTGCCCCAACATATCTCATAAATCTCTTGGCAATCTTGTTTTACATAGACAATGCTATTTAAAAAGATGAATTAATTATCTTTTACAAAGATAATAAAATCATGGGATATATGGACTATGTAAATTATTCTTGTTTTTCTCACTTATCTTGTCTCAAATTAGCTGCACTTATTATTATTTATCAGCTTACTGTCTCCTTCTAGATAGGTAAGACACAATTCATAAATAGTTTAAAAAAACTTTATCATACTATTGCAGGTACAAATCAACATTTTTCCTCACAAATTTCAGAGCAACTTGCACTTTATTGTAACAAACTGAAACAATCAACAGTCCAAATCCTCAATCTTTTTTCATACAGTTATTCTAGAAACTTTTTTAATTCTTCTACCATTCCCTAACCAGGATTCTT